ATTAATATATCTTATTTTATTTTAAAATATGATATTTAATTTATAAAAATATATATTTATAATGATAAATCCGAAACGATACATGAAAAATTTCAGTATCTAATACATACCATTTCAATAGCAAAATCAGTACGCATGTCAGTACGATATTGACAACTTTGATTTAATTACATATTGGAAATGCAATCCTCCATGTGATTACAGTTATAGTGGTGGTCACGTTTCTTCAAAATGAGAAGCAAGTGAAAAGTACTTCAGTTCATAGGTCGAGTCCTAGACTCGACTTTCCTCAAATAGATATTAACCTAATATTGTAATTTTTTTTGTCAAAAAAAAAAAAAACTGCCTATTGAAAATAATTTCTTTACAAAACCGGCAATTTCTTCAGGTTGAAGTCATCATCACCTTTCAAGTTTTAACTTCCATGATAAAGCTGCATGTGAATGAGCAAGGATGGAGAAGAAGAAGAACAAAGATCGAGGCGAATTAAAACAAATGCATTTGATGAAGAGTAATTTATGTTACCTTTACCTTTACCTTCAATTAATCACTGGCAAGGTGCTACTGGTCTACTATTAAGGTTGGTTGTTGTTGTGTTCCTTCAGGCAGTTAGATCGAGGTTAAATGCTCTAGTGATTCTTCTACAGACTAGGGTTTTTAATTCAGCATAAAGATTTACAGGGTCCATGGACGCAACCTGCAAGCAAGGCAAAAATAATGGTTGGTCTTTAAACTCTAGCGTTTAAGTTTAATCAATAAAGAATTTGATTTTTACTGATCATTTAAAAAAAAAATTCATTTTTCAAAATTTTTTCATGTTAGAAAAAAAAAAAAAAAAAAAAAAAAACCTACAAGCAAGGCAAAATTGCTTGAGTAAAAGAAGTCAAAGCACATTTACCAAAAAAAACAAAAGTCAAAGCACTAGCCCCCATAAACCTTCACATTATCTATGGATTGCCTCACATCATCACATGCTATGTTCTTTTTTTAAGAACTTGTGAAGTAGCTAAATGCTGTGCAGTCTCCTCATGGACTGTACTATTTTTAGGGGTGGGTCTTAGTTGTACAGTCTGCGTCACCTTTTAATTGGAAAAAGTTTCAAAATTGCTTTTGTGGGAAGAATGTCAAACAATCTTTGGTGGATGCTATGAGTTTCTCTCCTCAAACATTCCCTTTTCTCATACCATATTCCCCATTGTTCAAAAGAAGAAGAAGAAGAAGAGGAAAGGAGAAGAAAGGACTTCAAAATTGAGGAATTGAAGAACTAGTATTATTCATTGTCTCAATGCAACAACATATTCACCATTTCCGTACGGAACTACTGACGTTTTGGGGAAACATAACATGATTTAGCTAATAGCTAAACCAATGAAAAAAGAGCAAAGAAACAAGAATGATGTTTGACCCTAAACCTTATATCACATCGCAAAATTGTGGGCACAAGAAGTGCCTGATGTTGCTAATTTATTTAATCTTGCAGAATGTAGTCCCCAACTCTAACAACTAGCTGTAGCTGATGCCCTTGGACTAGGAAGTCCCATGTATGAAAGCCTGGGAGAGACTCGAATTTTTGGACTAGGTCGTGGTGAAGGGATCGGACTAGGTCGTGGTGAAGGGATCGGACCAGGGCTTCCAAAGGTGCCAGGGATGGCTTTAGGAGATAGATTGACTTGTTCAAGTGCCCGGGATTGCAGCTCTGCTGGATAGTCCTTAACACACCCAATACGAGGACCAACTCCACTGGTCCACTTGCATGACAAACGCTTGGCCATGCTGAAGATTGGTTCTTCAAAATTGGCTGCATTGGCTGCATCGCTGCCTATACTGCCTTGTGTATGATCCGTTCTGATGCATCCATTGTTGATAGAACCATTGGAATCCACAGCATTTTTGTTTGTTGATGTTGCTATTGTAGACAGATCTTTGGTGTCCTCACGCTTGGATCCGTCAGCAGTTACTTTGAATGAACCTTCATCATCATCTATTGAACACCTCTGTTGAGAAACTGTAAACATCAGATATTTGGTTTGATGTGAAACTTGAATCGTGTCTAATTAAAATTTGAATTACCTTAACATTGGTCAAGTCCACATTATGTTCCCCAAGGAAAACAATGAACTCCTTGAAATTGTCATCAGTTGGAAGGTAATGACCACTGTACGGCCAAATAGTCTGGAGAACAGAATATGTCAACTTTAAGACAATTGATTTAGAGACTAAAAAGGTGCTAGTGTGTAATTGGCTTTTGCACAATATGTACCTCGAGAACCCCTTGATGAGCTACCAATCTTCCAGCAGCTGTTGTAGCTCCTCCGGATAAGAAGCTTGAGTGCTGAAAAACACCTTTCTTCTTCTGTCCCACATACAAGGCTCTGGATGTGCTCAGAACAAAAATCCACTTAGAACCCTCATCAGTGTCGAGAAGAATTCCAGTTTGCTTGTAAACAAGTCTTCCACTTTCCACAATCACTTCATATTCTTCCCTTTCTTTCTGCAAAATGAAAAAAGCATAAAGAAATGCACAAGGGTTATACAACAAGGCTTGTTGGTTACATTTTCATCAAATACATTAAATGATAAATATGATTGGTCTAAGGTGCATTTCATATCGATAAGGCAATGAAAACTTACTGGTCCAAGATAGCTAATACACTGACGTTGCATATTAATCCTGGGGCACTTCTCTAGATTTAGTTCTTTACCATCACCAATATCCAACCTTCATTTCAGGGGGGAAAATGTCATTCAGCATAGCATGTTGAAAATTCACAAGTTTTGCTAATGTAACTCTATTATATACCAGATAAGTTTTGTGGAGCAAGTTACCAGTAGAAGAAAGGTTGTACGCTCTTGCTTTCAGACCAAGCATCATAATAGAAGTGTAAATTGTGTCCATAACGATGGCGTGGATCAATCTGCAAAACACCAAGGAAGAATATGAGGAGAGATAAAATGAGAAGCAAATTTATTTATTGCATTAACTTGAATCAGCAAAACCAACTTTTTTAAGGCAGCCTGGTTTTTCAATTCAGCAGAAATCTCACAAGGTCAACCATAAGGAGCTAATGGACTTACAGCTTCTAGCCAATGTTGAAGAGCTAGTTTTTGAGCCTTCTCATCCTTGGACAGACCCTTCCCTACCTATATACAAAAAGGATTAGCTAGTTAATTTTCCAAACGAAAAACATAACAAACACTCTTGATAAATAGACTAGTACCTTGGCAGCCCTTGTTCTAGCTCGTAACCACCGCGATGTGGCAGTTTCCTGTTTCTCAATGCCATAGAAGGATACAGAACACTGTTTGAGTGCTGCGGAATCTAAGGTCTTCCACCTACAGTATTTCAATAGATACAGTTAAAAAGTCACGCAAAAGACTAAAGAACCAACAAAAGCAACAAGAAATAGGGACTATTTAAATACAAACCAGAGCTCTTCAACCACAACTGCGCAATCTGCTAGATTCCTTCTAGTCCTATAACTTTTGTAGACCTTTTGGACCTTAGTTGCAGCAGCATCGAGCTCGTTAGCAGGCCTTGGAGAAAACATTATCACTGGGTCAGGGACCTTTAGGGTGGGTTTGGTTATATGGATTCTTTGATGAGCTTTATCATCCAAAGAGAGGGAACTCCCAGTCCTTTGCTCTTGAGCTGAATTTCCAAATGAATCAGATGATTCAAACTTTTGTCCATCAGAATCCATCCTCTTGACACTTTCTGACCCCTCCATTATCGTAGCATCAGAACCATCAAGCTTATCAACGGAGACTGAACCATCTTCGTTGAAACTCTTTGTTTCTCTTCCCTCATTTTCAAGGCTCATGGACCTTAGAAGAGCCCTTTTTACAGAGTCAATAGAATTGAAAAACCTGAGCCTCAAGATTTCATTCCTTGCGGATAATAGTAAAGAAAGAGAAAGACCCATTTGACTTGTAAGCTCTTATATAGACTTCAACCTGTTGTATCAGAATCATCAAACATGCTTGTATCAGATAGACAATCCTCACTAAGGAGAAACAAGACGAGAATCAAGTTGAAATTTAAAGAGAAAGTAGAGAAAAAAAAAAAATCATAGATAAAAAGCTAGAGAAGACAACAACATGAATCATTTCAAAAACCCAAATAAACAATGAATCAAATCCATAGCTTGCTCTCCATAGAACAAACACACCAAATATGTTTCCACTAACCCACAAAGAAAGCAGAAATTTTGATGAAATAATATGCAACATGAATTGATTAATATAAAGGAAAATGCAATAATTCTAAGGAAACCTATGAATTTAACAATTGGGAATGAAGTGCCATCACCTAGAGAACACACAACAACAATTCTTTGTTTCTCTGAAGACCAAGTGAAGCGTATGAAGTTTAACTACAATTTGCAAAGCACGAGAGGAATGAAGACTCAGTGCTGGGCTACTGCAGTTATTTATAGAGCAAGGAGGGGCCGCTTGAGAAAACAAAGTAAACATCTTCATGTGGAAAAAATGCAATTCAAAGAAGGTGTGTAAGAAAGTAACCATTTTTTCCATGAAGAGAAATTACATATGGGAACTTCAAAGAAACTGAAGGGAAAGATTGAAGAAGGAACCGGTAAGATTAGACCAAGCATGTTTTATATTGGTGAAGGAAAATAATGTCTTGTATGGGGAAAAGAGACGTCAGTAATGAGTGGTGGGGGCGTTCTGCCCTCGTCTCTTTAATTGTTTTATTGTCCTTCTTGTGCCTTTCTGCCTTCTTGCTGGAACTTGCTTTGTTTCCTCTTGAATTAGTATGTTGGATTTTTTTTTCTTTTTGTGCCCCATAGGACAAAAATTAGAGACTGAATCCCAAGCTTACGAATAAAAGTATAAGTAGTTTTATTATTAGATTTATAATTAATGGTGAATTCGCATTATACTATACATAGCATGAGATTGAAAAAAAACTAGAAGCTCTCATAATTAAAATGTTAAGAATAATAATAAAAAATTAAAATATTTTTAATAAATTAATATATAAAAAATTTATTAAAAATATTTTAATAATTTTAAAAGAGTTTTGTGATTTTAAATGAGGAAACATTTTTTTTAATTGTAAATTACACAATAAAAAGCAATTTTACTCCATTCATATGTCATATGAATTCAAGATTTTTTATTTTTAATAAAAAATAATTACTAAGTTATTTAAAAAAATAATTGCTTAATTATTTAAATCATTAAATAAATGAGAGAACATCTTAGATTTTACCTTTCTCACCTAATGCACTGTATAAATTAGGCTCTTTTTTTTTAATTTCTTAAGGGTTAGGTAGATATTAACAACTCTTGATATTGCATATGCATTGACATTCACATATTTATAATTTTCTTTGTAACAATATTTATGAGAATTTGAGACTATAAATTAAAAATTTTAACTTTAAAAAATAAAATAAATGAAACAAGATGATATTTAATAAAAAAATAAATTATTTTTATTTTATAACTCGTCATTAAATTATAAAAAAAAAAAAAAAAAAGTTTAACTTTAAAAAATAAAATAAATGAAACAAGATGATATTTAATAAAAAAATAAATTATTTTTATTTTATAACTCGTCATTAAATTATTAAAAAAAAAAAACCGAGGACATGGTGCTAATGAAGCCTTAAACAGCAATAATTGAAGGTGTCAGTAAAGTTCTTTAATGATTGTATAAAAAAGCCATAGTCCATAGAGATTAAA